GTCTAGCAGAGGTTAGCGATATACTTGGCGTTGAGACCAAGATAGTCGTTGGGACATTATCCTCCGAGGAGGAGATCAAAAGCCGAATGAAGGTGGTATGCGATTATATGACTCGCAACCATAGTCCCGTGGTAGAAGATGTCGAACTAGAGGAAGAGGATGATGATGGAGAGTTGGATTTCGATAGGTTAGAGTCGGATGGTAGAAAGATCGTTGAGGAGAACGAGATTTTGGATGAGAGCCATTTGAGGGCACTTTGGGTTTGTTGTGCCGGTCAGACTGCAATAGTCGCATGTCTATACCTCGAGAATCATGGCTATAAAGTTTGGGAAGAGGAGTTAGAGAGCGAAGAGGTAGTAGAGGAGGAAGAATGTTTTGGCAGCGCACAAGAAGTAGGCGCTGAGCCATCTCTCAACGATTTATTCATTCCTCTCCCCGATTTGTGGCTAATCCCTAACGAAGGCATTAGCATCTACGAGTGCCAGATGGCTGCTCCTATCCGTTCTCCCTCCACGTTCATTCTTGACTCTGGTTGCAGTATGCATATGAGTCCGAACGCTGGAATCTTTCTCTCACCTCCTATCCCTTGCGCTAGAAAGACCTTTCGAGCGGCTAATCAGAATCTATTCTCTGGAAGTATGATTGGCAACGCTCACCTCCTTCTGGAAAACGACTCTTACCTCCCTCTCGACTCTTGCCTATTCGTACCCGAACTCGCTACCACTTTAGTTTCCATCGGACGACTTGACGAGTTAGGCTATAGCATAACTTTTCGAGATGGGCATGCGACAATTAGAAACGAATACGATAGGGTTATAGGCAACATACCGAAGTCTAACGGCCTCTATCGAGTTGTAGACGAAGGGAATATAGGTCATGCGTATACGACGGTGGAGAAGTTGACACTGGATGAATTTCATCGAAGGATGGGTCATATTTCGAAGAAAGCAGCTCGAGAGTTAGTCCGGGAAGGTTTTGTGGAAGGAATAGAGTTGGAGGACCTTATAGATGATGGGAAGCAATGCGAGTCGTGCGTATTTGCGAAGATGGCGAGGAAACCGGTTCCGAAGCAAAGGGCGAGTGATTTGGCAAAGGGATTTGGGGATAAGACGCATTCGGACCTATGGGGACCATCGCCGGTAGAATCTAAAGGTCACAAACGTTATTTCATCTGTTTCACCGACGATATGTCTCGACTCACTCACCTCTACTTGCTACGTGAAAAGAGCGAAGCTTTCGAAGCCTATAAGATGTATGAGGCATGGGTCAAGGTACACATGAAGACGGCGGTAAAGATTCTACAAAGCGACTTTGGTGGAGAATATACTAGTGATGAGTTCCTTCGTCACTTAAAACTAGCAGGTACTACTCACCTTACCACTGTCCACGATACCCCCGCAGAGAATGGAGTCGCTGAGAGACTCAACCGACTTCTACTCGAACGCGTCCGCGCGATGCTTCACTCTAGTGGTTTACCGAAGTTCCTTTGGGGAGAAGCGATCCGTCACGCCGTTTGGTTAAAGAATCGAACTGGTACTAGGATCCTAGGCGGGAAAACGTCTTACGAGTTGGCTTACGGTCGCAAACCTAACCTTTCGAAGATTCCGGAATGGGGAGCAAAGGTATACGTGCACGATACGGATACTGGGAAGCTTGGAAGTCGAGTTAAAGTAGGAAGATGGGTCGGATTTAATGAAGGAACAGATGCGAGGCAGAGCAAGGGTCATAGAGTCTATTGGGAGCAGACGAAGATGGTAACGGTTGAGCGTTTGTTGGTATTTGCGATTGAAGAAGTTGAAGAACCCGAGATTGAGGGGGAGAGCACAGCCACATCCGGCTACCAACTCAATTCTCAATACAATTCTCAATTCAATCCCGCTTCTTTAACAGATTCCGAGGTCACCGTCATTAACTCCGAGATTAATTCCGATACCTCCGTCAATTCAAAACCTCGTCCCGAACTCCGATCTACTACTGATCAAATCCATACCGACCGTCCTCAACGCGTTCGAAAACCCTCTCAATACGTTCGAACCATCCTGGATGGCATCGGAACCACTGGTACTCGATCCCACTTACCTACTGGACTATCCCCTCCTTCCATTCCCGACACTACGTACGTTGAGCAAGCCATGGCTGCCGACATAGCCGAATCCGAAGGAATCGAACCAAAGACCATAGCAGAAGCGAAGAGATCTAGCGATTGGGATAAATGGGAAAAGGCGATTCGTGAGGAGTTGGAGAATTTGATGGAACACGGTACTTGGGAAGTTGTAGAGAAACCGAGAGATGTGAATATAGTCAGATGTAAATGGGTATTCAAGGTGAAGAAGGATGAGAAAGGGGCAGTCGCAAAGTATAAGGTGAGGTTAGTTGCTCAGGGATTTACTCAGGAATGGGGAGTCGATTATACCGAAACCTATGCGCCAGTCGCTCGTTTATCCTCCATTCGACTCTCACTTGCCCTCGCAGCACGTTACGACCTCGAGATCCATCAAGTTGATGTTAAAGGAGCATACCTTAACGGCGACCTACTCGAGAACGAACAGATCTACATTAAACATCCTCCAGGTTATCCCCTTTCCACTAATCTGTCTTCTACCGTACTCAAACTAAAGCGACCTATCTACAGACTCAAGCAAAGTGGACGATATTGGTATATTAAGTTTGGAAAGACGTTGAAGGAGTTGTTGAGCATGAAGAGATGTGATGTAGACCAAGCAGTGTTCTATCGACACCAAGACGGTCAACTTATTATTATCGTTGCCTCCATTGATGATCTTACTATTATAGCTTCAACTGCAGCTCTCATAGATCACGTCAAAGCTAAGCTTCGCGAAGCTTTCACTATTACCGACATGGGACCTATCCATTGGATTCTTGGAATCCAGGTCACTCGTGACCGTACCAACCGCACCCTATCCTTGTCCCAACGCGCATACATCGAATCTATTGTCAAAGAATTCGAACAAGAAAATGCTCGTCCTACCACTATCCCTATGGATCCTAACAACCGACTCAGTTCTTCGCAGTGCCCTCAGACTCCAGATGAAGCTAGAGTCATGGAAAGCATACCCTATTGTACTATCGTCGGGAAGCTAATGTATGCCTGCGTCAGCACTAGAGTCGATATCGCTTACGCCGTCCATACTCTCGCTCGTTTTGTAACTAATCCAGGCATGGCTCACTGGAACGCTGCTAAACGCGTTGTTCATTACCTCAGTACTACGAAGGATTGGTCTTTGACTTATGGGCGTGGAGAAATTAGTTTGGATGGATATGTAGACGCAGATGGAAGCATGAATGATGATAGAAGGTCTATCACCGGGTACGTTTATTTGGTCGATGGCGGAGCGGTTAGTTGGTCTTCCCGCTCGCAAACCCTAGTCTCTCTCTCTACCGCCGAGTCGGAGTACGTCGCAGCTACCGAAGCTGCAAAGGAAGGAATCTGGATTCGCTCCCTAGTTTCTCAAGTCTTCGAACCCACTCTCTCTATTCTCGATTCCCCGACTCTACTCAACTCCGATAATCAGGCAGCTATTGCCCTCTCTCGCGATCATCAATACCACGGAAGAACGAAGCACATCGACATTCGCTTCCATTATATCCGATACGTGATTGAAGAAGGGAAGATTAGGTTGGATTACTGTCCAACGAAGGACATGGTGGCTGACACTTTGACTAAGGCGTTGCCTAGTATCAAAGCGAAGCACTTCGCTATGCAGCTTGGACTCTCTCTGGCTTGAGGGGGAGTGTTGGGTTTTATTTTTACTTACATACGGACTATTCAAGCCGTCGATTCATCTGGTAGTATAGCTACGTACTGGTTTCATTAGTATTTCTATTCATTTCTTTATTCGATACATTACGGACATATAGTTACTTCGATCGTACTCCTATATCTAGTATATAAGTTACTTACTTGGGACAGCTGCACCTCAGACGTTGTATTCTTTACAACTTACTGAGGTGAGCCCCATTATACCTTTCTTTTACTTTCTCTTACTTATCGTTACCATAGTTCATATTCCACAGGTGAATATATACAGACGTTGTATTCTTTACAACTTACTGAGTTCATATTCCACAAGAGGTTCATTCCAGAAAAAGAGAACGAGAAAGCTTGGAGGGCTGGAAAGATCCCATTAGAGGACGGGAAAATATACAGAAACGGTCCGATGTCTCGAGCTTATACAAACTCATCAGACAGCATCTATAAAAGCTATCGGATATTTTTTTCATAATTGAGAAAATCCACATGACGTGACTTATCTGCAAACGGATTACAAAAAGGATGCTTCTTGACTGGAACGTGGTCATGGGTGTGAAGACTATCGAATAATACGTCCAAGTGTGGTTGAGGAGTGATTTGTCGGGCTCCTTTTGGCGAGTATTCTGGGCTAAAGATGACGAGACATTATTAGTAAACGTTCCAAAAGAATTTCTATGAGACTCACTGATCCACACAGACCCTGGCTTTGGGCCACCAGGGATCAAGTAATACTTGTAATTCTGTCCAGCTTTGCCTGTAGAACCAACAGCTGTGTTGAGAGTTGGGGAGCACCCAAGAAACTGAGCAACGTCTATTTCAGACATGATGGTGAAAGGTGGAAAAAGAGACGTGCTGGCAGTTAGTTTCACACAGACATTAGCTGAAATGTCATTTTTATAAAAGTGAGAGATAATTACTAAAATGTTGAACTGCGTTCAACTTGCCACCAGACGAGAACGAGTCAGATTCCAATCAGCTAGTGATCAGTGTCCTTCCTTTACAGTTTTTTTTAAGAGATAAATTAATATTGTCTGTGTTTCACTGAATAGAAAACATACTATTAGCTCAGTGATTTAATGCTGGGTGAGATTGAACGACTACCCACATTTTGAGGATCTATTAAAAAGTAATTGACCTCATTGAAGGAATAGATCAAAAATAAATGTTGAAATTCGTTGACCTCTGATTTAAGATAGTGGTATATAAAAAAAAAGCACTTCTTGAAGAAAGGCAGGCTTGGATTCGAACCAAGAACCTCTTGCTTTATCACCTAGAAGACCAAAGAGGGATGACCGTTTCACCACGTTGCCGGTGCTGGAAAAAAGTGTAAGCCAATTTGTAGAGTAGGCAAATCTGTTTGTGGTTTCATCAGGGAAAGCCCCATTTCGGAATTGGCACCAAATACCAAGGATTACCAGAAATAACAGGTAATTGTCGTAAATTTGAGGTAATTACCCTAAATTACTGAATTCCCCAGATTACCCAAGAATTATTTAGTCCTTTTTGGATTAGCCCAAATTACCTTTGATTACCTTGGAAAACTACGGAATAGTGAGAAATGCTTGCAGAATGATGGTTTCCTCAGCTCATAATCACATGACAAGGAAAGTAAAACATAATTATATTAAATATGATAAAGTACATAGGTATGTTACCAAAAATACAGCTAATCTAAACCTTCGATAACCTCAGGCAACCTGTAACTGTCCATCATTCAGAGACAATTAAGCACGAGTCTAAATCATAAGAATCAAGATCAAGCAAACAAAAAAAAAAAGAAAGGAACATACCCAATAACAATCTCAAGTCTAAGATCGGGCATTATTGGCCATAAATACCAAGCACTGTATGCGAGGACCGTTAAAATCAAACCAGAGTCACATGACAACAAAACGGCAATACCTTCGCGTAAAGAATGGTCTATTACTAGACAGACTGTAAACAAGACAAAGGCACGAATACTAACATGCACAAGTGAATAAGTACCAACATAAAACTGGAAAAAGAAAAGACAATACATACCAAGCTTGTAAGTTTGCAGGTTCTCCTCACAGCATGATGAACAAAAGAAAGAATCACGGAAAGATGGTAGAAAATAAGAGATAACTGTACTATTACGACCAAAAGTTTGGTCATGTTGACTGTTATGGGATATTTTGGTCAGATCAGGTGTTCAGGGGGTGATGTTATGTGTTATGTGATGCTGTGCGGCCGAAGGCCGCCTCGAAAAATTAGGTTATTAGGCTGATCCGAGCTCGGGCCGCGTGATGGCATCATTAGGTAGGTGTTCGGAGCCCTCTGTTATGCATTACTAAATGTAAAATCACTGATGTTCGAGGGGGGGGCATTATGCGTTATGTGAACATTTGGTCGTAATAAGACAGTAAGGGCATACCTTGGGATAAAATATGTCTATAAAAGCCCAACGTGGTCAGGAACACAAGTAGGAATCAAGAAGAGGCTCGCCGAGCCAAGGGGATGGTGGTGAAACAAGAACAAGAGACGTTTGATTTCATAAGCGCCTGTAGAAAATACTTACAAAAACAACATGTGACTATGTTGAGTTCTTCGGCAGGACAGGCACAATGACCAACGCGTTAATGCGCTGTAACTCAGTGTTACCGCATAGGCCTATATTTTCGCGTTTTGAAGAAAGAATATATGTTTTAGTGATAATAGGTATATTATCGTGTTGACAGAGGACTGAAGTGAGCCCAAACTGTCAGTCAAAGTGGAATTCAGCTATGATCCACAAGGATAGACTATTATAAGTATCTATGGTGGTCTGTATGGCTATCTAGCTACTACAAGTTGATGTCTATGTCATTTGTATATTGATCTCTCTATACTGGAGACTCTACCCAAGGCTACGATGCCTCTAAAGTGCTCGTACGCTAAATTATCAAATTACGATGACTCATGGCCGGAATAACGCGTATTCACGGGATCTCAAGGAACGTGTCAAAAGATCAATTGTTATATTAAGAAGAACTCTGAATGCGACGGACAAGCTATTCCGATTAGAGTTAGCTGTGTCCGGACCGAAAAGAACCTCATAAGAACGGGTGCAGTACAGGCCAAAGAACGCGTCATGTGATAGTAATTATGATTACGCTATTTCACAAGTACATGTATAGGGGTCAAATGTGCACAGACCTTCAAGGAAAGGGATCGTATGGATTCCTGAACGCGTATTAAGATGGGAAGTGTTGAGAATCACTTCTAATATGACTTGTGAAGCAAGAGGAACTGTTCTTTGCTAAATATACACATTTTAGCGTTGGAACATTGAAGCAAGACTCGGCTGGTATACTGACGCGTATATGCCGAAAAGACACAACTGGATGACGAGTACATCCGTCTCCGAACGCTAGTAGTTGCTATAGGGCATAGGTGTGCCTGGTATAGCTCCTTACTGCAATATACCAAGATCTGTTAGATTTATTCTGTTTCTTTATTGTCTATTGTCACAACCCTACTCAGTCTCTATGTCTTGTTTCCTTATCTGTAAATATGCGTTACCAAGCTCAGTTTCTTTTCATCTTTTATTGTATATTTTAGCGGACATCGAACTGGGTATCTAGTACTGTACAGTTTATCGCGAAATCGTATAAATACCCACTGTAGTAGTAGTAGTACCCCAGAGTAGTACCAGATACACGACTGCGGATCCAAGTGTCTCTTGGAGCGTACCTAAACGCCGCTTGCCTTGGCCAGTCAATAGTGTTGACAGGAATCTCTAAAATAAAGATTGTATAAAGAAAGATTTTGTTTAAAGTTTTAAAGAAAGAAGTTTACCAGTATCTCAGAACTGTCTACATCCTACACTCGAAGTTTAGCAGTAACTCAGAACTGTCACTACTCCTCGAAGTTTAGCAGTAGCTCGGAACTGTCACCCCCAGTATTGCGAAGAATTGGACGTGTTATTGGTCAATTTGTGACTTTGAAACCTTGAATCTGTATCTCAGCGGAGATTTGAATCGTACTTTTTACACTATCGCACACACACACACACATTGGTTCATCCTTTGTACTAAGACCACAAAAGACCCCTTTCTAAAGAAGTGTTCTGTCACTCAAAAGCACTCGCATTACACTGTTTTGTGTTTGGTTTTTGGTGTTTTTGGTGTCTTTGTTCTATAGACACTTGATTCACTTACCACCACATTAGCGTCGAGACTTGGAATTTCTCTAAGTCCTACCTTTCCAGTATTTCTCAACAACGGCACGGTCAAAAAATCCAAAAACTTGTATATAGGCTCTTACTACAGTTTACATCATGCATATGTAGTAATTTCTGTCTAGATGAATGTTTTTATAATATGACTCGCAAGTTTGAATGTTAAAATAAGCATTTGTCTATATGGTGACAAGACTGGAAGGGCCGGACTTAGAGGAATTTTGACATGCAGCACTATCCCTGTACCTATGCATCCATGTTTCCTAACTTTGAGAGTATCTTGATCAAAATATTGCTAAACTATACTAATCTAACATAAATGAAGGTAAACCAAGGTAATCCACGTCAATTGAGGTAAATCGGTGGATTACCCGAAAACCGGGGTAATTCCCCCGAATCCGCAAATGGGGATTTTCCTGATGTTGTTGCCAATGTCATGTTGGACATATGACTTATCAGCTATTGGCCCTAAGTTTTCCATGATAACCTCCTTGGGCATTCAACTCAGCTCATGCATCCACCAGCGACTTTAAAATGCCTTCATTGTTTCCACAGGGAGCTGCCTGCAGGGCATTTCCATATTCACCACCTTGGGCATTCACATCAGCTCCAGCATCCATGACCAACTTCACAATCCCTTCATTTCCCTTATATGCAGCAGCAGCTAATTGACCACCTTGTGCATTCACATCAGATCCAGCGCCCACCAGCAGCTTCACAATCCCTGTATTATGTCCTTCAGATGCTGCCTGCAGGGCATTTCTATATTGACCACCTTGGGCATTCACATCAGCTCCTGCATCCACCAGCAGCTTCACAATCTCTTCATTTCTTCTATATGCAGCTGCTGCTGCCTGCAGGGCATTTCCAAAGTGACCACCTTGTGCATTCACATCAGCTCCTGCATCCACCAGCAGCTTTACAATCCCTTCATTTTGTCTATATGCAGCTGCCTGCAGGGCATTTCCATATTGACCACCTTGGGCATTCACATCAGCTCCTGCATCCACCAGCAGCTTTACAATCCCTTCATTTTGTCTATATGCAGCTGCCTGCAGGGCATTTCCATATTGACCACCTTGGGCTTTCACATCAGCTCCTGCATCTACCAGCAGCTTTACAATCCCTTCATTTTGTCCATATGCAGCTGCCTGCAGGGCATTTCCATATTTACCATCTTGGGCATTCACATCAGCTCCAGCATTCACCAGCAGCTTCACAACCCGGTCATTTCTTCTATGTGAAGCTGCTGCTGCCTGTAGGGCATTTCCAAATTGACCACCTTGGGCATTCACATCAGCTCCAGCATCCACCAGCAGCTTCACAATCCCT